AGGTTTGTTGAAAGAGAGGCCTGCATAGTCCCAGGTGGGCAGCCATAGCAGAACTGCCTCAGTGGCTTTGCAAAGGAAGGAGGGAGGGAGGAAGAGAGGGAAGGAGGGAGATAAGGGACAGTAGTGAATGAGAATAGACACCAAATCTCATATCAAGGAAGCTCAGAGAGAATGCCAGGGAGGATAAATGCCAAGTATCATTACATGTTAATCATAGCTGTAAATTCCCAGTGTGCTAATCGCAATGTCACTGCCATATCTTAGTTTGGTTCTGATGCTTTCTCTGTGTGTTCAAACTGTGCTTTTTGCATTTTACTTTGTTAATTTTGTTTTAGTAGTCAAAGATGATGTCAGAGGTAAAAGGGACTGCTAAATATTCCTCTAGTAGTTTGGTGGTGAAGTATGGGGGGAGGAGAAGGGGAAGTCTTCTTTGGTCTTGTGATCCTACGGTTAAATATCAGACCTTTAAGAAAACCGTCCTTAGATTGTGAACTCCACAAGTGTTTCTTCATTTCTTTCCCCTTAGGTGGGATAGGATGGTATGGACTGAAGTTGGGTGGGGTATGGTGGATAATACCATCATTTAGTGAACCAATCCTCTCTTGTGCTATACATTTGCCTCAAGTTTTTCTCTAGTTGAACAAATGTTATAGTTCATATCCTCAAAGCTGAATCTTTTTGTGTACCTCTTTGGTTTTCTTAGAATAGAATCCCTTGAAGTAACATTGCTAGATTGGTGTATATGATTTTAAAAATTTATATCCCCACTAGAAATAAGTGCCCATTCTCTGCATGTTGACCAACACTCTGTATTGGCTCTATGTTTATCTTAGCTAATTTGATGAGCAGAAAAGAAAAAAGGAGAACAAAAAATCAGTCTTCTTGTTTAAAAATATATTTTTTGATTGTTAGCCAGCTGTAGCATCTTCAGTTACATATAGTGGCAATATGCAGTTCTTTTTTTGTGAATCGACTCATTTTTGCCCTTTAGCCATTTTTCTTTTAAGATATGTATTTGTCTTTTTTTCTTCTTCAAGTCTATGTCTCCTTTAAGTCTTTTTTCTCCTTTAAGTCTATATTGTAATGATAATAAGTCTTTGTCTCTCATATATTCTGCAAGTACTTTTTCTAATTCGTTTGCCTTTTGTTATGCTTCTACTGTTTTGTTTCAGAGAATATAGCTTTTCTGTAGACAGATCTGTATTATCATGTTTTCAAAGACCTTCCCTAGCTTAAGATAAAACTTCTATTCATATTTTCTTTTTTGGACATTCAAGTTTTATCCCTTAATATTTAAAATATTTAATCTTTATGTAATTAATTTTTGTTTATAAAGAAAATCAGAGAACTAGTTTTATTTTTTAAAATGGTTTGCCAAATTTAATCGCATTTTCTGATTATTCCTAGTAGATGGTAAAGCCAGTAATTTTTATGTATTTGTGTCTTAATTTTGTACATATTCCAATTTTATTTGATAGTTTTTCTAAGTAGAAAATTATATACTTTTATTTCTAATATTCATAATCCTCTCTTATTTTATTTCTTTGACTTTTTTTTCTAAGCCACTATTAAATAATAGCTTTAATATTATGTTATTTCCCTTGTCATCAAAATTGATCTCGTCTTTTTTTTTTTGACAAAATTTTTTTTTCTTTTTTTGCTAATGTGAAAACTCTGACCTATAGGAAGCATTCAGTTATCTTTTCTCTTGCATCACCAACATACCTTTCTTTGGCTGAATTTAATTGTGAACTTGTGAGGTGATCAGGGTCTGTGAGATAAGGGGCATTTTCTGTACAGCTCTCCCGAAATGAGCTGACCACTGTGGCACTAGGGTTGTCTTAAAAACCACATATTCTAATGGGTGAGCATTTGCTAGAAGAAAACCCTTTTAGATACTTTCTGTAACCCAAGAACAAACTACCTGTGAAATTGTTTGATTTCTTCATAGTGTCTTTTGCATTTTTATGACCTATACCAATTGTGAAAAGAAATATTCCAAAGTCACACGTGATATTGTCATTTTATATTTTTATTAGCTGGGAAATTGTGGGTGAGTGGGATTGATTTCCCCTAAATGCTACATTATATTGCTTGGAGAGAACTTCCTAGTTCAGCTACTTACCGTTGTTCTTCCCTCTCTGTGTGCCTTGAAAGGCATATTTGGCATGCATTTCATCATTCTACCTCACCCCAGATGAGTACCCCAAATTGTATGGTCCACCAGCTCACAGTGAAGCAGCTTCTTTGATAAATGCATGAAGTCTTACTGTTTGAATGTTCCTCTGAACCTTGGAAAGATCTATCCTGTCCCATATTACTGCTTTACATTAAAGCATTGAAGCTTCATTGCAAAGCCAGATGGTACATTCAAATCCAATGGGGGTTACTCCATTAGGCTGCTCTTGGCTATCAACTCTTCAGCACATTAGAGTCCCTGACAGGCCAGCTGCTCTCCTAGCCTATATTCAGGGACAAATGACAAGGAGGCTTTAATGTGGTGCAGTAGTGGAGCTTGGGGAGGTTAAGCAGATGGTCCTTGGGGAGCTCCATTATGTGCTGAGTATATTGAAAAAAGGATGGTCATTGGAGAGGGAACAGAGGCTAACCAAAGGCCCCTGGTATAGGATTTTTGCTCGTGGCATTTCTGTCTGGCCCTCTTGACACTTCAGACTGTACTGTCTCCCCCAGTGTTCCTCCATGATGAATCCCTCATTTTGTTCTTCTCACTTCTCAGTGTTTTCTGTCATTCTCCTTTGCATACCACCCTGTCATTTGTTTTTTGTAACTCCTGGTACCTGTGAGGGTATCCTTGGTGTGTTCTTCCCCAGCAACCACCTGTCTTGCAGTTTCTTGAAATTCCTCTTTCCTTTTACCATCAGGCCTCTTCTTTTCTCTCTCTCTCTTTTTTTTTCCTTTCCTGCATCATACAGAAATCCCCATTTTTCAAATATTTATCTTATGCCAATTTGCCTTTATAAAAGACCTACATTAGCACCTGCTTTCCATATCCAAAAGAAATCTGAAGATTTTCACTTTTTAAAAAAGATTTATTTCATTTATTTATGCATACAAGAACTGGGGTATCGGCCAGAGGTATAGGGGGTGAGCAGATTTACCAGAGACAGAGTGGGCAGCAGAGCAGAGCAGGCAGAGCTACTGAAATATACTGCTAAGGGGAGCAGCAGGAAAGACAGGAGTCGTTTGCTGCGCCATGTGGTTTACCTCCCTGACCAGGGATCGAACTCATGCTGCAGTGGCTGACATTAGCTTGATAGTGCTGAGACTTTAACCCCTGTGCCACCAGGGAGGCACTGAAGATTTTCACTTTTACAACCAAAAGCAAAAAGAGGATTTAGTATTGGTTTTATGTCAGCTGTTCTAGAGGCAGCAGAACCCTGAGAAGAGAAAGTGGCATCGCCAAGCTACTTCCTAGAACTACTTAATATAGACTGTGCATTTATCATATCACTCCTGCTTTTATTATGTTTATGTCATTTTAGGTTTGATATGCTATTTGGTATGATTTGGCAGGTTATTTTTTGGATCTGGGAACACTCAAAAAATTTCCATATAAATTAATGTTATAAATCCTACTTGATCATGATGTATGATCCTTTTAATATATTGCTAGATTCCATTTGCCAAAATTTGTTTAGGGTCTTTGCATTTTTTATATCAGAGATAATGGTCTGTAGTTTTCTTGTGATTTCTGTGCCTAGATTCAGAATCAAGGTAATGTGGGCTTTGAAGAACGCATTTGGAAGTCTCCCCTTCTTTTCAGTTTTACAGAAGAGTTTTAATAGGATAGATACTAATCAGTGGGATTATAAATTGGTACAGTCATATGGGAAGCATTGTGAAGATTGTGAAGATTCCCCCAAAAATTTAAAAATAGAAATTCTGTCCAATCCAGTATCCCATTTCTGGATATTTACCTGAATGATGTAAAAACACTAATTTGAATAGATATATGCCTCCCCATGTTTATTGCATCACTGAATACAATAGACAAGAATTGGAAGCAAGCTTGCCCATTGATTGATGAATGGATAAAGAAGATGTAGTGTATATACACAATGGGATACTATTTGGTTATTTAAAAAAAATGAAATCCTACCATTTGCAACAAAGTGGGTGAATCTAGAGGAAATTATGCTTAGTGAAACAAGCCAGGCAGCAAAAGGCAAACATTGTATTATTTCACTCACATGTATGAGAAAACCAAGAAAGAGATGAACTAAATAAAACAAAAGTAAACTTTTAGACTGTAAGACCAATGAATGGTTACCAGAAAGGAAGGGAGGATGGGAATGGGTAAACTGGTAAAAAGGGAACAATGGTATGGTGAGGAGAGAATTACACTTTTAGCAGTGACTTTAACATAAATAATCATGTTGGTTCTCAGTGACTGACACCGTAACATAATGTTATGATGCAATGCTATGTCGATAAAAATTGTTAATGGTAATTGCTTTTTCACTTTATGACATTTTGGCTTACAAAAGCTATTCATATAAACATACTTTCAGTTAGTGGGGGATACTTGAATTGTCTGGCAGGCCAAAGGATTTTAGAGGGTTATTCAAAGCTTTTATATACCCATGACTCTAAGTGCAGTTTTTGATCTTTTCTGGAGGCAGAAACTTAGAATGTTTATACTTAGCTGAATTTATATCTTTTCAAAATATTTTCATTTCATTAAGTAAATAATAGAAACATGAACTTAAATATACTAACTATATTATAAATTACCATGTTTCTCCATGTGAGGGTCTTTGCAGCTGTAATCAATACATAAGAGAGAAAGAAAGTGACCCTGGTGAAGAGTCAGGGATGGCTCTCTTCATGTCAGGTCACCAGTGGGTAGCACACTGGTTTTGAATCATTGCTTAAAATCTTTTCTCATCCTCGACAGCACTAACCAGTGTCTTGCTTTCTTATTTGTTGTGTGTGTGCGTCTGTGTGCTTGTATCCGTCTTGTGATCCGGCAATTCCAGGATGAAATTCTGACTGTGATCAGAAGGGTGGATGACAACTGGGCAGAAGGCATGTTGGGGGACAAGATCGGGATTTTCCCCCTTCTCTACGTGGAGGTAAGGTGGTGCCCTCACACTCTTGTTTTTTCATCACCTGGTCTTAGCGTCCCCTTTTCTAAGAAAGAGGCTACTTTCACTATAATCTAAGGTCAATTAGGGACTGCATGTGGGTTTTTATTGGTGCCACTGTGGTATGAGAATTGCCTGGGCCAGTTTTGAACTGTCTGTCCCTCTTACTGTGGACCATGAAGGAGGACTCCACTGAGGCCTGTGCCTGACACCCACTTTTCTGAGACTCCTTGAAGTACTGCTGTGCTTGTCTCCCCAGTGCTGAAAGAGAAGAGTTCGGACCCAAAGGCAGTATTGCCTTTGACACCACAAACAGAGCAGAAGGAAATGTTGCAGGCCATTTGCAATGTCTTCCTAGGGCTCTGGAATACTGGGCAACTTGTTCAACTGTGAGTCCCTCAAGCAAAGATGAGGCTAAGTTAAGGTCCATTAATCCTTTGTTTCTTTTCTGTAACTAAGAAGCACTAGGTTTTGAGTCTCTAAATTTTTTTTTAAGATTGATTTATTTATGCATACAAGAACTGGGGTACACGCCAGAGGTGCAGGGAGTGAGAGGATTCACCAGAGACAGAGTGGGGAACAGAACAGGCAGACTGACTGAAATACACTGCTGAGGGGAGCAGCGGGCGAGCCAGGAGAGGTCTGCTGCACCATGTGGGTAGCCCTCTGGCCAGGGATTGAACTCATGCTGCAGTGACTGCTAATATCTTCATAGGTTGTGTCTTAACCCCTTGTACCACCAGAGAGGCCCCTTGGGTCACTAAATTATAGGCAGTACTGAATGGGGAGCATCTACAATGTTTGGCTTTTAAGCCACTGTTAACCCTGGCTGCTGTGTGTGTATATACGGTTTGTCAGTGTGTATACTATTTTTCAGTGAAAGTTCATTCATGAAATGTCCATGAGCCGACCAGATGAGTCATATGTTAATTACTGGAGTTATCCCAGAAAAATCATTTCAGCTGATGCTCCCTGCTGTGTACCAAACACTTAAAAGTATTTCCTCATGTAATCCTCTCAACAACCCTGGTAAATGGAAACTATGGACTTTATAGATGAGCAAGCAGAGGCACAGAAATGTCTCAACTTAATAGGTGTCAGACAGGGACTTGAACACTGGCGATTTGCTCTGAACAATCCTGCACCTGCTCCCTCAATGCCCCCCACTAACATCACATTTCACTTAACCTGCTGCAGGGCTCCTCACACTAGTAGGTGACACGGCCAACTTTGTCATACCCACAGAGGATGTGTGGGTGCTGGTAGGTATTTATTAAACATATCTGGCAATTCCTATCACTTTATCCTTTACAGGATAACATCCAAATGCTTTAGCACAACATTCAAGGCTCTTGGTAGTTTGACCCTAATCTGTTTTTTCCAGTCTCATTTCTTGTCATTGCTTACCTTCCCTCAACATTCTGTAACAGTGGTGCTCTCACTATTGTTGTGGGTAAGCTGCTCAGGAGATTGTGACCTTCTAACAACAATGAGTACACACGTGTGTGTGCACATACATGTACATTTGTAAGGTTCGCACTTCCCCTAATACCTGTGTGCTTCATTTATACCTTTACCTTACCTCCCAGAAGTGCTATGAATACCACTCACACTACAGTCTAGAATTCAAAAATCTTAGCTTCCGGACAGTTCTAGTCAGTGGAACATTTTTCCCAAGCAGACTCTTATAGAGATTTACAAAAATGTTCATAAAACCTTTACTATGATGACCCAAGCTGGAAACAACACAAATATCCATCCACAGTGGAACAGATAAATAAAGTTATGTTCTGTTCATATACTGGACTACTATTTGGCCTTGAAAGCAAACATGAGACTATCACATATAACAGCATAGATGACTCTCACAGATATATTTTTGAAAGAAATGAGACAAAGGAGTATGCAGTGTAATTGTTTTTTTAAGTTCAAAAACAGGAAAAGTGCTATTCTTGGGTTAGAGAAGTCAGGACAATACTGGGACTTTGGAAGAAGATTGACTAGAAGGGGCCAGAGAAAGTTTTCTGAGATATGAAGGTTCTATTTTGATCTCAGAAGTGGTTACCTAAAGATATGCAGCTGTAAATAGTACATATGTAATGTTTGTGCATTTTGCTTTAAACTGTGATTTGAGATGTGAAGAAAAACCTTATAGGGATCCCCAAGGCAGGTAACAGTGGGACCCACCCACTGCAGAAGACTCACTTAAACCCTACCAGATAGTCCCTTCTCTGCAAAGTGGGCTGAAATGTTATCAGGGTGCTGAGAGCTTGAGCAAAGGTCTGAAAAAGGCACCATCTGGTCTTCTTATGGTTCTTTGTGATTCTGCAGACTTTCACAAACGGCATGATTGGCCACTGGAGATGCTCCTTCAAGTAGATCCTGCCTGCAGGATGAGGGGAGGCTACTCCTCTCTGTCCCAACTGCTCTCCATGTCTCATGCCTCCACTCACAGGCTAGCCTCTGCTCTGGGTGCCGCTTCTTACACACATCCTTACATCTTCCCCAGCGGAACACCCTGTGGCCCTTGGGGCTCAGCTTTCCTCACTCCCCTTGCACACACCCTCCCTTGCCCACTAATAGCCTCAATTCTGCAGGCATATTTCTAGGGTTTATTTTGGTTTAGCTTTTTCAACTGCTTTTTGGTTTATTTTTGTTTTGTTTGTTTCCTCTATATCCATATATGAGTGAAATCATTTGGTATTTGTCTTTCTCCATCTATTTTCACTCCATCTATATTCCACATGAATGCAATCATCCAGTATTTGTCTTCTCATTTGGACTTATTTCACTTAGCATAATCCCTTCCAGCTCCAGCCATGTTGTCACAAATATCAGGCATTCATCTTTCTTTATAGCTGAGTAGTACTCCATTGTGTATATATGCCACATCTTGATCCACTGCTCTGTCAATGGAGCTGTGAAACTGGACAGCCACATGCAGAAAAATGAAACTAGACCACTCTTTCATGCTGTATACAAAAACTAACTCAAAATGGATCAAAGACATTGGATGTAAGGCTGTGAACAATAAAATACATGAAAGATAACAGGGAAAACACTTCATTTCATTGGCTTCAAAAGTTGAGTCTTTGGGGACTTTACTCCAGCAGCAAGGAAAACAAAAGCAAAAATAAATGAATGGGACTACATCAAACCGAAAAGCCTCTGTACAGTAAAAGGAACGAGCATTAAAGCAAAAGGACACCCTAGAATTGGAGAAAATATTTGTATACCATACATCTGACAAGTGGCTGAACTCATGCCGTACAACAAAAAGAAAACAACTCAATCAAAAAATGGACATAAGAATAATCAACTTCTCCAAAGAATTACAGATGGCTGTATGCTTTTTGACCCAGGCTGTCTTTATGAAATGAAGGAGAACATGCTCTGGATACCTGATACCCTCTCCCATGGGAGCTGTTTCTTCACCCTGTGTTGCAGCAGGCACACTGGATCATTTGTATAAAACTAGCCTGGAGCTGGCCTAGTCAATACTGCTTGAAGTCTGTTTTCTGAAAGGTAGCCTGTCTCCCAAAATGTCTGTATATTCTGATTTGTAGTAGAAATATTGCTCTTACCCTCACCCTCCACAACCCCAGGGCCCAGCTGCTAACTTCATCTGCACCAGTGACAGGTACTGAGCCATCTGATTTTGCTCATGTGCCCACAGGTTTTCTCACCTTGGTGAGCTGCCTCACCCACTGTCTTCCCAGCTGTTGCTCTCTCTGACCTGGAGCACCGTCCTGTCTCTTGGAACCTGTCCCCTTCTTTTCTCCCTAATGCAAATGTCAAGGTGGAGCAGCCAACACTATATCAAGAATGACAGTGTGTTTCACTGACACCTGCTCATCAGTCAGACCACTTCCAGGAGGCCATTCTCACTGTTGATCACCCTGGAGAGGTGGAACAGGCTTTGGTTGTCCCCACCTTGTAGCATGAGAGCCACTGAACCAACTGCCTTCTGCTTTCCCATAGGCTCCAGGACATTTGGATGTGCCCTTAGTAGGGCTCTCAGGCTACCCCTGCTCATATCACTTCTCATGGGTAGTGGAACCCAACAGGAGAACCACAAGTGACTGCTCAGGCACCAGGGGCTTCAGAGGTGGACACGTTGGGCTAAACACCTGCACATTAGATATGACCTGTGGCCTTTTGCAAGCTCTTGAACCATTCCTCAGTTTCCTTCCTCAAACAAGGGCAATAAAATAACATGGACTTCATGGAGTAGTTGTGAGACTTAATTAACAGTATACAGGCCAGCCCTACCATGAAGGAGACTTGAAAGGCCCATCTCTGTTGTCCTGTTCTAATTTTTTGTTAAATGACTAACTGGTCCACTTGTGTGTTTGCGGAAGATCTGTGTGTTGTTTCTGGACATTGACCATGTGTGGTCTTGTGTGGCTGAATGTTTCCTACAAAGTGTTCTTTTTGGCTCCCTAGAGGGGATGGGGACTCTCTGATGGCAGGTGTACCTTGATGCCTATCTAGGCAAAACAATACCTACATAGTTCGAGCTGAGTGAAGAATATATATATATATATGCTGAGTGCATATATATATATATATATATTATATATATGCTGCATGATAGGAGAGCTCCTGGAAAGCTGCATCCAAGGGGCACTGTGGGAATCAGCCTCATTCTAGAGAGATCTGTCCAGCCCTGTACAGAGTTTTACCAGGGACTTGCATGGAGACATGGAAGGTATGTCAGCATTTTTTCCCATGATGCTTGTCTGCAAAGAAAAGCTCTTCATGGGACTGGAATTCAAACCTCAAAGATCATAATGGTTAGAAACATAGTAGAAAAGAATGATGAAATTCAGTAGCATAAACATCAAGTTCTACCTTCACATTCAGAAAATAAATTGTTCAGGTGGTGTGTGGGGCGCACTTAGATCACCAGCAGTAATTTAAGAAAAACCTTCAAAGTTACAGGAAAATGATGGTACCTGCTTTACACTAAGTAGATGTTTGACCGT